GCATAAAACAAAACCAAATACAGACGAATAAAAGCTAAAATTTTATTGCTAAAGTATTCTGGTATAAAACGCGAGTGAAACGAAATAAAAAATAGAAATATACGTAGGTGTTATGTACCGAGGTATTTAAAAGTGAGCCAAAGTTTTCGTCGACTTATTAACCAAGGTTCTTATTCCGTTGTATGTAATAATAATAGCCTTTAATTCAGATACATTTACATTTAAACAAACTATTTCTATCTTCAAAGTCAAAGTCAAATCGTTTATTTCAATTAGACCATCTAAAATGGCACTTTTGAACGCAAAAAAAAAAAATATAAAGATGATTCTAGTTGCCCTGCCCCCTTCCAAAGGTAGTTTCGTGTGGAGAAGAATGGGGAGAAACCCCCCACCTTCTTTTAAAATAGTTTACAATATTTTGTTACATTTGTTAAATAGTGTATATGTGAAGGACTTTTAGAGAAACTACTATACTAAAAAGTTATTTTACATGTTCCTCCCACGAAATAATTAAATTAAAATAATAAAATATTAAAAAAAAAAGTGTGTGAGATACAAAAAAATAATTAATTTGTAGCATTATATAAATTAAAAAAAAAAAATAATAACAAAAATTACCTTTTTTTTTTTTTAGCAAAAATCGCAACCAATTCCTGTTTGTCCAGGCTGTGCCAATCTTTGCGATTGTACTATGGAGCAGGACCAGCTGTTTATTTGAATTCTATCGTCTATCGACCTTCTGGAAAGGCCTCCTCCGATCCCGTCCTCTCCTCTCTCATGTGCCACTCTTTTTCGTTTGCTGTGGCTTTGGCACCAGTTAAGTACTTTTTTGCTCCACTTTTCTGTTCCTCTTGCGATGTGCCACGCCCATTTCCACTTTAGTTCATTAATTTTTATTGTAACATATGTTAGCATAGTTGATTTTCTTAAAGCTTGTTTTTGTAAATTCCTTTGTATGTATAATCCTTTAAATTTGAGTTGTAAGCGTATCGTTCAAAGCTAGGAGACAGTCTATGTTCTTCGTTCAAAGGGTTGAAAGGTTTTGATGGACTTGTAATAATGTAATAAAAGACAACAATATACATTGTTTATCTATGTAATCTGTCTTGGCTTTGTATATTGTCTGAATGTTTTGTTTTATAATATGTATGTTATCTGTAAGATTACTAATGAATAAATAAATTAAAAAAATATATCATTGTACGGGCCAAGGTTGATCTTTGTGCCACGCAGTCTTTTCTGAGCTTTATAAGCAAAACCACGATCCAATAAAGTTGTTACATTGACCTTCGACTAATAAATTATATCGAAGCGAGAGCCGAGCTATTTCGTACAACTTTCGTATTTAAATATAATTATTATGATCCTTCAAGATATTCAATGTAGTTCTCTCAATACCCGTAGCGTAGATTTCGCTCGGAACAAAAACTCATTTTTTGATAGGGATAACTGTCGGTATCGCTATCATTATTGAAAGTTACAGAGTACGGACTCAGATTTCTGTTTTACAAACTGGGTATTAAGTAAAAAATATGATTTAAAGACCATAGGATCATATTTTATTGAAGACAACTTATATTTCATAAATCACGCTAGAAGGCGCCTACTAATTACGCTATATTATAATTTCATGTAGTGACCTACTGAAGACGTTTAGTAGGTCAATAGAACTGTTTAGAAAAATCGAAGTTTTGTGTTGTCTTACATTGAGCTTAATAAAATTTAAAAAAATAAATCAGTGGCGCTACAACCTCTTTTGGTCTTGGCCTCAGATTTCTGAATCTGTTTCATGATCATTTTTAAATCTAATACGCAAGTAGGTGATCAGCCTCCAGAGCCTGACACACGCCCTCGACTTTTTGGGTCTAAGACATGTCGGTTTCCTGACGATGTTTTCCTTCACCGTTCGAGCAAATGTTAAATGTGCACATAGAAAGAAAGTCCTTTGGTGCACAGCCGGGGATTGAACCTACCACCTCAGATATCGCACGCTTAACCTTACGCCTTTGGCTTTTTATTAGCTTTAATTTATTTTTTTACAATGTGTTCCCTACGTTTTATTTAATTGTTATGGAATTATTCTGCTTCACATAAAGTTCATCTTATATATATTATACATACTTAAATATAAATAGAAAATATTGTAGAGCTTTACAATTCATCAACAGATAATTCTGTTCTTCGTCGTCTGTTAAGCCGTTAATAATAAAGTTATGACCTCATTTACTAAGCCAATCTAAAAGTTTTAACGAATAGATCGAAAGTTTTGTCAGAGTTTAATTTACGTCAAAAGCACATGGCAAGGTTGTATCGTTCTCTCTGAATTGGGAAGATCTTGATTCTCACATCTGGTTAGTAGTTAGTTCAAAACACTTAATGGTCGTAGGATTTTCTATAAGAAATGGCAGATAAATACGCGTCTATATAATAATCGATGACTAGTAGAAATCACAGGTATTTAAGTATGGCTTAGCTCAGCCATATAGCGTCGGAATCCTCAGTACTTGGTACCTTAAATCTCTAATATATAAAATTCTCGTGTCACAATGTTCGTTCCCATACTCTTACGAAACGGCTCGACCGATTCTTATAAATTTTTTAATGAATATTCAGTAAGTCTGAGAATCGGCTACTATCTATCTTTCAAACCCCTAAATGTTCAGGGTGGTTATGGCCATTAAGGAGAAACGAAGTTCGCGGGGGCAGCTAGAATAATATAAATGAAACATATGACCTCAGACAAATAGTTGATAAGCTTTCTGAGCCTGTCGATTTTTGGGTTTGGGACATGACGGTTCCCTCACGATGTGTGCCTTCACCGTAGGTGCAAGGGAAGAAATAAAATTCCAGTGATGGAACGCCATTATTCGAACACAAGATCTCAGGGTTGGCTCAACACGGCTCTATTTTATTGTGATGAAACAGACACGTAATTCTTTTTATAGTAGTCTATGACTTAATAAAGAATTTTGAATCACCTGCATTGTAAGAAATTCTTGAACTATTACAAAATCGACCTTTCGAGATCTTTGTCAATAACATATACATATGTTAGAATAGGAAAGGCCAGCTTTTTGCAATAATCAATTCGCAATGTTATTAAAATACACGTTTTTATAGTTAATCTTGATTAATCTGTTGAATATGTATTATCGTTAAGAAAAATATACGTATTAAGCCTTTTTAGAAATTGTTTTTATTTAAATCAATCTTTGGAGATCACGCAATTTTTGGAGATTATTGACCTCCCACGCCGTAAGTTTTTGTACCCAAGTATAGTAAAACGTTTCGTGACCACCTAGTGACTCTTTATACCTAAAAGTTACCATTATGTGGTGTAAAGTACTGAAAAGTCGAAAATAATATTAATAATAACGCGTAATTCAATCCCCGCCCCGTATCGTTTTACAAAAGGACCCCCCAAAATTAGTTACGTAATACTTGAACGCCCCCTGATACAGTTATCATATGCATACAAAAACGTTTTTGTACGTAATAAGAAATATTGATTTAAATTTAAATTTTTAAGTAGCAAGTAATGGTCAATATAATAATGATACTTAATTTACATAGAAAATTAAAAGAATACATGAGATGTAAATGGGTGGTCTTGCTGGTAAAGTTTCTTCTAGACCACACAGACGTCAAAAAAGTAGAAGACTTAAGATACGCATAGAACTTTAATTAAAAGATTTAATATAAAATTACATGCAAAGGTAAAAACAATAATATTAACTTATTTCTAAATGTTATTAGTAAATAATTTTATTTGAATACACTTCAAATAGCTTCTAAATATAATCTCTCCAATAGTAACTTCTTAACTATTTTTAAGAACAAGACATAACATTGCTATTGTTTACCAATTTAGGCTTACGGTATCTTATAATTGTTTTTTAATGAGACAGGTCAAACCGGCAAACGCGCAGGTGGGTCACTTATAGTTAAGTGTTTACCGCCGCCCATGGACACCCGCAATACCGGGAGGTTTGCACGTGCGTTGCCGGTCTTTAAGGTTTCACGCTCTTCTCTTGAAGGTGGCCGGCAAGAAGTGTCTTAGAATCGCTCTGTCGTAAAACGCCAGACGTCAAGTTGGAAGGGGTGGAATTTTGCATTCAATCTTGACATCGGACTAAAACTATTATTTTAAACTCAACATGATCCGTTTTGATAAATTTTGTAGAATTATTTTAGAACAGATGACTGCAAACTATATATCGTAAGCGCCTTGAATGAATGAACCCGTTTCGGAAAGCCGCGAGCTGGTTACCGCACCTTGGGCGCAAATCACCACTTGATCACGCTTGAATAATCAATTCACTAACACCTGGTCTTGTCTCATAGTTCGTTTTATCACGCAACGGGCCTGCTGTTAAATTCTACCGATTTTCGACTCAATTTGCTGTTAACTAATAAAAATATCCATAGCGCAAAATCACCTGCATCATAAGTATACCCCACATACAAACATTCGCGTACTTATCCCTCACTTTAATACCATCACACATCACAGCCAAATTAGGTAACTCTTGTCTCTTAGTTAATTGTATTGTATTAGTAACTTTTATTGTTCGTTTATTAACCTTTTTGTTGGTATATATTATATATTCCATGTCTGGCTTAATTTTATGTGTAATTGTTTGATATTATATATAATATTGTTAGCTGTAGGATTAGAAAATAAATTTATGATTAAACAATAATAACCAACTTTAAATTGTCTATGAAAAGTTAAAACAAAAATAAAGCGTTTGTATTGATGAAACGTCCGGCGATTTACATCAATAAATCATTTTCCTACAGAAAATTTTATGGTTCTGCCACGAATTGGTACTAGTGGTGTGGATAACGAGGTCTCAGTAAAGCAAGTAGTACAAAAATATAAAAAAAATTAAGTTTGATCTATACTAAATATTCAATGAAACAGACCTCGTTCTAATCATCCTATTCTCTTAAATGTTAGCGTCATTATAGCATTAGTCACATTGAATAAAGCAATAATGAATGAAGACATATTACCATTGAAGCTGACGAATTCCCGTCGCAAAGTTGATTGCGAGGTCGTAGTTTCGAGTATGCTGACATGGACTAATGAAATGTGATTGAAAAGGGTCGACCTTATGAGTCTGAGAGATGTCATCCTAACAAACATTGAACTCAAATAACATACACTTTAGGTGTATGCAAAAGTGATAACACGGTGCCTTACAAAATTCACAAAGAATATCTATTGCTTTGGGACTTAGAACCAAATCAAAATCAAAACAAAATCAGTGTTATTATACAACAATTGCAATTGGTCTGCATTTGTTTTTATGAATCTTATTGCATATACATATACACACATACATCAGAACGTCGTATGCGTTCAGTGTAGTCAAGAATAATTATTTGTCTAAGTGACGAAATAACGATACAATTTACACTTTATCATCAACATACATTCGAGAAAGCTTTAAGCTTTCTAAGTCACCATTTACATTTCGATAGAGGAAATGTTAAATGTCATTTAAGCAAATGAAATTCATTTAGTATAAGTCAATTGACCTTTGATAAGGCGTAGGTGAAAAGGTCTCGTAAATATCAAATTTGGGGGAAATATTGTGACCTATACCAAAGTTGCCCTCTTGTGTGTAATATATTATAATTTATTCACGGTATTGGAAATTTCATAACGTTCAGTAAATCTCCTATTCAGTAAGATCCTAACATCTTCATTAATCATATTTCATCTGACTCAAACAGTTCCTTGATTATAAGGTTTCAATCGTAAAACTAGAAAATACATTCAAAGATCAATTCTAGATAATAGAGAGGGCCAGCGGTGAAACACTAAAAAAACCAAATATATTTAAATTACTTTAATCAACTATTACAATTATTGAACTTAATTAAATATGACAATTGAATCGACTCGTAATGAAGTGCATGATCAATAATAATCTATATTTTAGACCTATTACTAATTCGATATTTTGACCGGTCCGATATGTGGTATCCGATCAAAGCTCTACTCTTGCTGTCTGTAGCTGTTGCGTCAGAGGGGTGCAGGTTATGCGGGGCATAGGGCTTGCAATGGATATGTAACAAGTTACTTAGTATAAATAACGTATATTTAAAAAAAAGGCCTATGCGTCTGTCCTTCGACTAGCAACAAACTTCCTAATGATATGCGAATGAGGATTTATATAGAAAGGATTGCAAAATTATTAAATATACGAACGAAACAATCGTTTACTTTTGGTAAAATTGTGTTGTAGCTATTTTGACTAGTATCGTTGATTTCACAAATAAGATCGTAAAATTAAATATCTGTGTTATAATTTCTTACGTTATTGCAATGTTCCAGGTTGGTAGTGTCACAGAATCAACGCGCACTGCATATAGTGTTTCCGCATCACTTCCTAGACTCACCGGAGTGGTTCGGGGTTTCCACTGACGAGTTCTTTCAGGTAACAAAATTTATGAATGCAATGCGGGAAACTTTATACGATTAATATTAGGTCCTTACATATGAAATTGGCGTTTTACGTTTTGGCCACTTTGACCTCAAATATCTCCTCCTTGGTAAAGAATTCCAAATTAAAATTTGTACAGCTATTTACTCATGTATTTGTGCTTCGATGGCCGTCATTCATTTGTTTTTTTTCTTCTGTTTTTTTCTGTTTGCGTCACTCATTTTACAAAATGGAAAACTTAAAGTATCGCATTATTTACGAGTACGAGTTCCGCCGTGGCACTAGTGCTGCGGAAACGACTCGAAGGGGGAATGATGTGTATGGCGGTCATGTTGCAAAAGAAAACACAGTTCGTTTTTGGTTCCAACGTTTTCGTTCTGGAAATTTCGACCTGCAGAACAAGCCCCGTGGACGGCCTGAGACCCAAGTTGATAATGAAGTATTGAAGGCTATTGTGGAAGCGGATCCATCGCAAACCACGTCCGAGTTAGCTTCAGGCTGCGGTGTTAGTGATAAAACTGTTTTAATTCACTTGAAGCAAATTGGGAAGATTAAAAAGCTTGAAAGATGGGTACCTCACGAATTGACTGAAGCAAACCGGCAAACGCGCGTCGACTGCTGCGTTACATTACTGAACCGGCACAATAATGAAGGTATTTTTAACCGAATCATTACCTGTGATGAAAAATGGATTCTTTACGATAATCGAAAGCGCTCAGCGCAATGGTTGGATCCTGGCCAGCCAGCCAAATCCTGCCCCAAGCGAAAATTCATCCAAAAAACTTTAAAACGTTACTTGTAAGCGTTTGGTGGACTAAGACCGGTGCAGTTTTCTCAAATCTGGCCAGACTATTACGGCTGATGTCTATTGTCAGCAATTGCAAACCATGATGGAAAAGCTAGCGGCTAAACAACCTAGGCTGGTCAATCGCTCCATGCCACTGCTACTTCACGATAACGCTAGACCGACCACACACTGCACAACAGACGGCTACCAAATTAGAAGAGCTTCAATTGGAATGTCTAAGACATACTCCGTACTCCCCGGACCTTGCTCCAACAGATTACCATTTTTTTCGAAATTTGGACCTTGCAAGGGAAAAAATTTAACTCTGATGGGGCAGTCCAAATCGCCTTCACAGATTTTATTGATTCCCGTCCGACTGGTTTTTTTTGTAAAGGGATCAATGAACTACCTATGAGATGGCAAAAGTGCATAGAAAATAATGGTTCATACTTTGATTAATTAAATATATTATATTTAAAAATATTCGACTTTTTGTTCCTCCCATACAAAACGCCAATTTCATATGTAAGGACCTAATAGAATATGAATGCTATATTTTGTTTGCATGCCCGTTATAGTAAATGTTACTTCTTTGGACTAGGTTTGGCATGCCGTATATTTTTGGAGTGGAGTACAGAGGAAACCACGGTACAAAAACGCGCCGTGCCTCACAGGTGGCGTGGAAATGTGTGCATATCATTAATAATGTGACTCTTAGAATTGCGATATCTCATGAAGACCATTTTTGTAGAGAATTTAAGATATGACTTAACTTTGACCTTTGACCCCGAATAACTTTTGTAGCACGCATAGGATCGATGGGGATTTTTAAAACTTTATTTGTAATGACAAACCCCAGCTCTCCACCAATATTTGGCTCTCCGGGAATTATTGTTATTTGACCACTATTTGTTTGTCTTAATTGACCGGACTAATATTCTAAAGTACTCATGTCTCTTTTCATTACAGCGTAATCAAAATTTGACAGAGAGAGACAAATAAGTGCAATTATATTCATCTAGTTTTAATGAATATCGGGGATAATATATGAAAATGTATTTTACATGTTATTTTTTACTATGAAGTCGGAACTCTGCTTCGTGTGCTGCCATTATAGGCTCTATTGAGCGTATAACTGGTTTCGCACGCGGCACACAATTCTCCCGGTAGGCATCTTTTTTGACGAAGATTATCTAGATATTTATTAACAAATCGTACTTTTTTATTCATACGAAAGAGATAAAAATAATAATAACTAGCTGCCCAGCGAACATTTCTACATACCAACATATGGAATATTTTGGTATGTTACCTTATAAATAATATAAATTAAAATTAAATAATAAAAATAAAAATTACTTTATTTGACTCAAAACATACACTAGGCTACGAATGGTTTAGATACAATATTCATTGTGGTTAACCTTATACATAATATACTTCTATGAGCACAAACGTTTAAACTAGGCCTAGCCTGTATCTTAAACGCTAGTTCCTTCCAGTGTCATTAAGAAATTGGTTAATGTTTTTTGTCATTAGATGTTTATTCATTTTTATTTTTATTCAACTAAATGAAGGTAGAATCTATTTAAGTTGTTGCTATTGGTTAGACCGTAGTAACTCTGAACTAATAAAGACTGTTCGCTTTTCCGGAATCAAAACCTAAGTACTTAATAAAACTTTTATACTATTCCAATTTATCTCTGCCTCACCTCCAAGTTCAAGGAATAAATTTAAAAAGAATACTCGAACTGGTCCAGTTGTCTTCGAGTTTTGGTTAGCAACATATTTAGCGATTCATTTTTATATATAGATGATGATCCAAAGACACTTAACTTCTGCATCTCTCTCATTGATCATCGGCCTTTCGTGTCCGACAAACGTTGATTCTCATCTATAATACAGTTTCTCTCAAAGGTCTCCTTCACCGTACGATTAGTATTATAGTACGAACGCTTAGTAGCGAATAAGCGTTATATTGATCGATATGCGGTAGTGTAAGAGAAAGTACTCAATTATTTTATAATACATCACATGGGCTATTGTGTGCAAATTTATTTGATTTTAATGCACACTTTACAATACGTCAAGTATATAATATTGCCAATATAAGTTATGCAATTTCTGTTCCAAAATTGTCATGAATTGTTCTAATTATGTTTTACTTGTTTTGATACATTGTATGCCATAATTCAAATTGTAAATCTACAGTAAATATACTACGACACTTTTGCATATACAGTGTAAACTCTTTATAACGAATTTCAAGGGACCGAGCATTTTTATTAATTATAGAGAGGATTCGTTATAGGGAGAGAGAATTAATGTATGGGTATTGGGTTAAACCAAATAAATTTAACACATTTCTTCCGTTATAGAGAGTTTTTTCGTTATACCGAATGACGTCATAAACGGTTTAGACTGTATTTTAAATACATATATGCCTCGTAATTTTGGTTAATAATGTTTCACTTAATTAATAATTCTAGTAAATGACATAGGAGTGGAAGCATTCGCTTCGTTGGTTTTATATACTTAGAAAGAAGCTCGTAATCCCAAATACCGCCGGTAATCGAATCCAGATGACGTGATATGCAGTCTTAGAAGGTCAAACTTGATATTTAAAATTTGTTGTCAAACTTTCCAGGTCTCCATAATGGCGATGGAGGAATCACGTGTGTTGGTGTGGCACCGAGACAAGTTAAAACTGTCGATAATGTCCGACGCGTTTCTGCAGGCTGTGTTTGACCACATCCTTGGTAGAGACGTCGTTCACAAGCTCATGCAGGTATATATAAGTTTACAATTAGAGTCAAAGTCAAGTCAAAAATCATTTATTCATATAGGTAACATAATGTACACTTATGAACGACAAAATTAAATGCTTCTAATTTTACATTTACTGCCAGTTCTCAAATCAAGAGCGTAGAAAGGAAGAGAAGAACTGGCAATAAACTCTTCGCCACTCTTTTTAATCGTCAAGTTGTTTGTTTTACACAACATTTGTAAGGAGCTGCAACCATTACACCATGTTCCACATGACATCTTATCGTAGAAGTTAACCTGAGCTAATAATGAGTTAGAGCGTTTATTCAAACAAATTACTAGTATGAAATTCGTTTATTTGTAACGATATATTTTGTATGGAAAACTTGAGAATCGCCCTGTGGACGTACTTGGAATTTAACGTAAGCAATATGCATCGTTCGTTTATGGGTAGGTATATAAAAACTGTATAGCAAGGCGAAATGTTCCAGCTGTAATCTGATATTATCAGGCAATTATAAAGGCCTCAGTAATAATTACAATACTATACTATTTTATTTATGTCAAAGAATTTCTTGTAGAATTTTATTTTTACTCGACGTATAATTTCTAGCGGCACCTTGTCTCTTGAGGTTTCTACGTATAACTTTCACAATAAATAATCAGATTCCTTGGGGACCTTATTCTATTACATAAGTTTAGAATAATTTTAATAAACGGTTTTAGTATGGAAACTGTCTAGACGACATTAACAACTATATTATATAACGGTTATATTTCAATCATAGAACAGAAAATTTCGATTTCGAAGTAGGTAGGTACCTAATATGAATTTCAATTTGAATTACATATTTTGTAAATTGTAAATAGTTAATTTTCTCATGGATTTTTGAAGTTATGAGAACATGGAATAGAGGATATCATATAACGTAATAAATTGTCACCAATATTTTTGATTAATATTAAATATAAAAAAAACAATATTGGCATATATGTCAAATTTTAAGTTAGTAAAGTGGTGTGCATAACATTTTCAAAATGACCCATCATTATTATTATTCATAAAGGCCATTAGAGAACAAGAACCTTATTTAAGAGACCAATTTTTCAATTTCACTTTAATTGTTTAATAGATACTGTATCGAAATTTGAGTACAATAGCTAAACAATTTAGTAGAATTTGTAATTTAGTCTTCATACTCAAACTCGACTATTGTCCGTTATAGTTAATCGAAATCATTCACGAATTCACATGGACACACAAGAAATTTCATCAAAATCGGTCCAAATGTTAAGGAGTTTCATTACAAACGCACAGAAGATTTATATATAAAGAATCTATCTGCGAGTAAATGACGAAAGATTGTGAACCAACTCAACGCTCAATTTAACGTATTATTACTCGGTAGATTGTAATCATCAAGTGAAACTAAACAATGGGCCATTTTCTACTTTTCTATTGGTTAAAGTGACATTCTCGTTTCTATTGGTTAAGTGATGTGACATTTAATAAATTAATCAAATCGATTATTTCCTCATTTGTTAATTTTAAAGTTGAACCTAATTTAACATTATTTGTCAAATGTACATACATTATATTAACTTCATGTTTCAGTAGTGAGGGTTCCGAAAATTTTGAAATTATTCAAAAATAATTATTTTTAAAAGTGAAAATCGATTTTTGTATTCGATTTCGAGTTTCAGTTGAAAGTTATTTAAAAAAATAATAAACTAACTAATAATAGAATAATAATACATTTTTGGAAGTCCGAATGTCCATATTATAAAATAGAAAACGAGAATGTCACATTCTTATAACAATAGAAAAGTAGAAAATAGCACAATTACGATTTATCGATAGCTTACAATCTACCGAAAATAAAAACATCAAATTATAAACACTACAAATTTACACCGCCACGCTCTGCTCCAAATCTTTCGACAGTTTATAATCTCGCGAGATATATTATAATCTAACGGTGTTTTCCTACCCCTAACATACAAATTCGCAAACACACGACTGATTACAAAAATGGGCCCTGAAAGTATTGTTTTTTGTACCATAGATACAAATATAAGAAGCTTAAGAACTTTACCACTTGGTAAACTTAATGAACGAATCTGAGTACGTTGGACGTGTAATGTGTGATAAAGTAGCAATTTATCGATTATATGGAGGGAAACCTATTTATTTGTTCTTCGGCTAACAAGAGATGTTAGTTTTATTATTTGTTATTTTAAACTGTAAAGATATATAAATGATTTTAAGTTTCATAAAATGCTGTAATATTTTTGCAATATTATAATAATATAATTAAACAGATTATTTCGAATTCTTAAAGAATGTCATAAAAAAGCGTGATGGATCTCGAAACAAAATAGAAATGTCTTAGGGCTAGAAGGGCTGGGTGGCATGATGAATATGAGGAGTGAAGCTGAAGGCAGTCAGTTGCATCAGCCCTGCTCTAGAAAATAAGAGGGTGCATCCCTAAGCCTTGACCTCGAATTAATGTCAAATTTTACTTTCGTAATACAATTTTCATATAAAATTTTCAGGTGAGCGAAACAATGGCTGTCAGTAACGGCCACCTGCCGAACAGTTATGAGGAAGGCGAGGATAAGCCAATGCTCATAGTCAAGAAGGCCGGCGATGGGCCCGGAATAACCGCATTGCTTAATCGACAATTACAAGGTATTGAATAAACATTATGAGATTTGATTAAAGAACTTGAACGGTTGCTGTTGAAATAGAAATTTAGAATCAAAACAGAATTTATTACAAATATATACTAAAATATTGAAAGCCCAAATAAATCATTGGCGACTCCTTCAAAAGTGAGGTCTGATAATAATGTAATTTGCTTTTTATCAGTGAAAAACATCTAATCAAATTATTTTAGATAATTTTTATTGTTTGAAATTAATTGGTGATTTTGTTTTTCAAAAAGAAAGCTATTGCTGCCTTAATTTTTTTTTAATCATTTGGCCTTTGTAAACCTTTGTATTGCTTCTTTGTTCGTATTATAAGAAAGATATCTGACATTGCCGATCATGGTCATTAACTGAATATGTACTTTTATTATTTATTAAAAACTACCTACAAGCTTCTCGTTAGTTTTTTTACAAGGGTGGTAAAGATAAATGTATCTATTTTAAATATAATTTTAGTTGAGTTTTTATCGGATTAACCTATAAACACTTTTTGGTGTTGGTTGAAAATGGAGAAAAAAAGCATTAAATATTTACTCCCAGATCTTATTACCATGAAAAATGCTACGATATTTTTTAATAGAATAATCCAAAATTCATTAAAATTGGTAATTATTCGAAAATAATTATCGACACCATAAAAGAAACTTTGTTTTTTTTTATCAACTTTTAAATACATAATACTTTAGTTAGAGCAGCATACATCATTGGTAGTTTTTTAATGTCATAAAAGAGCAGTTTCTAAAAGTCTAGTTTCTTTATTTTTGGTTGATTCAGGCATGTGTTAAACGATGAAGACAGATTGGGTTCCTATATTATAATAATAGATGAAATTGTTTTTTTTATAAATAAAGTTAATTTTAGTCGTAACTGTTTAGGTAACTATCTGAACATTGCTTTGGTTAAAAACTAATTCCAATTATTCTCTGTCTGACAATCCGGAAGTTTTGTGCCATAAGTCAGATTTTGGCAGCGCGCTTGCAAGCCTTCTGGCAGTGTGAGTGTCCTTGGGCGGCGGTATTACTTAACATCAGAGGTGAGCCTCCTGCCGTTATAAAACAAAAAGATAGTAATTTTACTTAACGTTTTTAAAAAACAAAGAAGCTGCAAGACTTCACTTAAAAATTGAGATAAATTAACCCGGTCATATAATTTCGCTTCTTTAATAGTTAGTGGAAGACATATTTGTAATTTATTTTTGTTGATCTGACCTATAAAAATACGGACATCCGTTATTAGAATATAGGAACCCGTAGCCGCTTATAGCACATTATTCGATGTTGTATTGGTGTTTAGGCGAGCACGCGCCATTGCTCCGAGCGCCGCCTGTGCCCGAGTGCTGAACTACGACTAAATCCATATTCCCTTTCCCTGTGACTAATTGTTTCAACTTTGAACACTAGTGTCGAAACATAAGGTTGTTTTATCTATGACCGATTAAAAGTAGACCTTATATAAAAGTTGAAACAATTTTTATATTGTCAAAATTTATCCGTCCCTTTATAATTAACGAATTTATTTTATACGATGTATTTTATTGCTCAATTGGTATTAATTTTTAATATGGAAACCGCTTCATTTGATTTGAATTTTGGTATTTTTAAAAGAATTCTCTATGTTAAATACGGAATCGGTTTCAAAAATATATACGTATTTAATATGTTCTTATTTGCATTATACCATCACTCCTATGTCCTTATCACAATTTATCAATTTAATGTGATTTATATGTGTACGTGTTATATGCACATTAACCCGGAGTTCCAATAAATAAACTAAGATTTGGGATTGGAACGCACTTTACACGTGGTTACATTTATGGCACCATTTGTCCACATTTATAGGCCACTATTTTTGATACTCTCTCCCTAAAATCAGATACAAATTGAAGAGCAAATTAACTCTCTTATCGGATTTTGACAAGTAAGAGAGTGAGTTTGAACGCTGTCTCATTAGAATTAATGTTATATTTAACCATGACATATTCACTAGTATTATAAAGTACAATCAATAGATATTACCAGTATTAACGCACAATTATTTAGTGACTTAAGTATTATTAAGTATATGTACAATTTTATATTAGACTGATTAATCTCCTTGAAAATACAGTTGATCCGATAGATGGCGCTGTACCTAATTGGTTTAAATTTTCTGACACAAACTTACCATTTTCTAAATACCCACAATTAAAGCTCGAATTACGGCTTTGGCTAAGAAACTTATTGGCTAAAAAGTTATACCTCATAACATAATATACATACTCCGCTGGATCTGTGACCTAAAATGAGTCTTGGACCCAGAAACTGTCACTGCAAATAAAAACATAGATATTTAAAAATTGTAAATGGCGATTCTCCATCAAATGTGTGTTGATTAATCAGTCTTAAATTGCATGTTCATATCAGAGTCCCTGTGCCTGTCTTATATTTTTGTGTGATTTAAGTTCTTCATATAAGTAGTCTTAATTCGCACATGTATATGTATTTATAAGTATTTTGGGTCGAGATAATCACGCTTGGCTGTCATACAAGATCCTTAGTTCCCGCACTTTGACTTTGACATTTGACAGCGACAGATCGACCTAGTGTTACCAGATTTCAACTTGCTTTTCATATGACTCAAGCATGGTGTATCTTGACCTACCACCATATATAATGTTACCTTATTCAGTATCTAGTATCCTAGTTCCCATACCGTTATTCCTAAGCATGTTGAAGAATCAAGTGAATCAGGTAATTTTTTATCCATTAGTTATTAATGAAAAGCAAGTTGAAAGTTATTTAAGAATCATCCATACTACAAATCGTATTTTAATCCAAAGTTAAAACTTATAAGCTAGCATTTTTAATTTCATAACTAGTTTGCTTCACACAGAAAATTTAAAAATACTTATTTAATAAAAAAACTAGTGGTGCTAAAATAGGTTAATTGTTACGCGATAATTTTTATAAACAAGTAGATGACCAGCATTCTTTGCCAGACAAACGCCGTCGACTTTTGGTTCTAAGACATGCATTTCCTCACAATGTTTCTCCTTCAACATTTGAGCGAGTGTTAAATGCGCACTTAGAAAGAAAATCCCATTGGTGCACACATGTGATTCGAACGCACGACCATGGGAAGGTATCTAACACTGCTATTTTAGAATTTTTAATGGTTAAAATAATTTTCAATACTATTTTTACAGCAACAGATCCGAATGCATGGCGTCTTGGCAGAATCGAAGAGACAGACCACGAAACACCAGTCTGAGGTCACGCTTTGCACCTGGCGGTTAGACCGCGCAGGCGCGACCATCGCTAGGGCATTTAAGACTTTATGTTTATTAACATAAGGACGAATTAAGATGTCCTGAATATAGGTGAACCTGCAGCGCTACAAGGTTGTTTTGGCAACTCTATTTTTAAAGAGTGAAGGTTTATTTTAACGAGTCAAAGCCAATTGTCAAAAAATCCTTGAACGACTGTCTGAATGAATTATTAAATGATCCGAATTGTCAAAGCGATACGTGACAGCTGTCAATAAGGATGTTAAAAACACGTAATATCTGTTTTTATGGCATTTAGTGGTTTGTTTTTAATTTGACCGTCTATATATGATACCAATATTATGACTCCACAGCAATGTTATATATTTATTATTTTTAAATTCATTGCTTTAAGTACACGATTTTCGGCTTTGTTTTGCGGTTAGCTTCAGAGTATGTTTTCGTTTAAAAGAATTGTAACACTTTTCTTATTTCTCTGTATTTGATTTTACCTTTTGGACTTATTAGGATTCAATCTATTTCTATCTGAAAGTGAGACATGAGATGTATATTGGTGATATCTGTGATCGTTGTTAATCATATATTTTTGAGTTGTTTATGGTACCGGAATTGTTTTAACATCTGAACAACAAATATACAAGGATTCCATTTTACATCAATAATACCAGCAGTTGCAAAAAAAGAAAAAAAATTGTTTTTTGTTTCGCGTTGTTGGTAAAGATTATATACAGAGAAATAGTAGTCTTCGCGATTGTTAAAAAAAAGTAGCTTTAAACGTTGAGCAAATGATCAGTATTGGCTAGATGTGCTTGAATTTGTGATTGGAACGGATCTCTGTAGGTGTATTAATTGTATTAAATTAAGACGGTATCGCGAAGTTTTATAAAGCAACCCGGATACAGCGCATTAAAGCAAGTATTGCTGCCTCTTTTTACACGATACAGTGCGAAAGAGGCCAATATAACGATATATATTTTGTATGAAATTATTGTTTATACCCAATACAATCACGTGAATTGGTTTATCTGTCTCTTTCGTATTGTGCGATGTGATGGAGATAGCAATAATTTAGATTTTGGTAGATTTTTGAACGTCCTAAATCTTATTTTAATGTAGAAACAATAAATGTGGTTTAAAACGCGCTTAATCTATCCTGATTTATCCTTTTTTTACAAAGTATCACATAAAATAAAATAGATTTTACTGGACTGAAACACGATTAAGAATATTAAAACTATTTACCGTTAACACAGACAAACGATGACTCGAAAGTTTATTTTATTTTTGACATACGAATACGTCAGAAATTTTAAAGGCGTAAATCATGTTCGTTTTTCATTCTTCATTTGTTTCACTCGACTTCTCTTATTATCTAAAACGGAAAAATTATATTAAGCGCCTTTTAGACCCACACTTTTTACTTTTATTTAACAAACAATTTTTTGTCAAACAATTTACAAACGTTTTAAAAATCCAAATATTTATTTTAACTTTTCGACTTCGCGATCCAAAATCGCAATATATATTTGTAATGTCATAATCAAATATTATTTTGTGTAAACTTTTATAACTGAACTGATGTCGGTTGATTGTAAATAACTATGTACAAAAGTAGGTTTTTGGATGTGCTAGAGAAATAGAAAAAAATATATTTTATTGACCAGAACTCAGTTGAAGCCATAAATTCTAAAGCAAATGTAGGCACAGCAAGCGGCAAGTAAAAGCCGGATGAAACAATCATACTTCTCTCATTCCACAACATTGTTTTTGAAACAGAACTCGAGCCCCTTACAACATTATCTATAACCTATTGATAAGAAGCATTATTCTTTAAAAAAAAAATCATTTTAAAACTCTATTCTAATGTCAAACTTCATGGAGATTTTTTTTTGACAGGATAATTTTAATTTACGTTATGTTGTAAGTTATGATTCTACCCGTACTGGGACATCTTTAATCTTGTTTCAAGAGTTGTTGTATTGTTGAATATGGGCCTACGAGCATCTAGATATAACTGGCATCTAGATATAACTGGTATCTTGGACATTTTTAATTATAATTAACGCACAAAATTCGTATATGTCATAAAAGGTTGCGGGGATAAATGTGTTTATATAGAGAAGATGTTGATGATGGAAAAAGACAATTTTTATGTTTGGTTATAAACTTTCTTTTAAATTATAACATTGAACCGCACATCCAGAAGGGATGATAGAAAATAATTGACATTCCTGATTATTTGTATTAGCTTTAAACCATTGTAATTTATACAGACAAGTACAATTATTCCCATTACATAATATTCGTAATGATATTTACTAGTTGTATGCAACGCAAAATTTTGTTAAAATGACTATGTAATAATAATGATATCATACGCACTGCCATTGCAAATGATTGTAGCTAATTGATTCATATGAATATGTTGGACCTCAATGTGTGAATAACAATTACCATTTAACTAATTGGTTACTTATCAAGTGTTCAAGAATTGAAATTTAAAAAAAGAGGTGATAACAACATGAAGGTCAGACACTTGTAACAAAAGGCTCTTGCTTTTATAATTACAATATATTTATTACACTATCTGTTTAAATAAATATTTTGTATGGAATTATATCTGAACATGGATCTTGGAAATTTTCAGCTATTGAATTATTGAACAATAAAATGCTGGACATGCTAATTAAAAGTAACAAGCTAAAGGTTTATAAATTGAAACTTTTTAATCTGAAAGTACACTTAATAGAATGAATAAAGATTAAAAATTCAATAAAATATGTAACCTTGGTGATTGTTCACTTCTAAAATGCCTTAAAAAGTTGCCATGTGTGATAATGTAAATTATGTGTGGTTGGTCATTTGAATCATTGTAGCATAATGTTAATAAGATAGAAAATTAAATTACCTTATGAATTGTGTAAATTGTGTTTTATTATTAATTTGATGTTAATTTTTCAAGGATCTTTGGTTGTTAACATAATTAAGCCAATTAAATAAGGCTGTATAAATAAGGCTTGCCCAATTGGGAGATTTGATATAAAACTAAATCTGCAAATTTAAAAAGGAAATATCATCCTAAAAGTAATTCACATTTGAAATTTACAAATTTATATTTCAACTAAATTTTTTCAGAACTCATTACAAAATAAATAAATAAATTTATTACAAATTTTTAAATTATTGCTTAGAATATTATATCATGAATCATCAAATGTCATGCGTCCTATACCATGACTTTTCATATACCTTCTGTATTGCTTATATTTATTATTTTCTGCTAATGATTTCTTAGTTTCCTCCTCTTTGATGTCTTTCCACACTGTAAAGTTTTCCTTTATCCACAACTCTTTATCCAGAAATGATTTTCTTTCTGAATCTTCTAATGCATCAAACTGATGTTGACCAAGTTGCATAAACTTTCGTATTAGATATAATTTTTCTTCATCTCCATATGGTTTCTTTAAAATTGTGTAATTCCACAGCCACCGTACATACCAATAAACATAATAAGTAATTGTATATGGTAACATAATAAGCTGAATCCACAGTATATCTTTTATTTCTGGTTTAGCATAAGCACCTTTTATATCCATATTTTCTTCTATAACTCGTCTTATTATCCTGTCCTGTTCCTCTTTAAGTTCTGCTTTGCTTTTCTTATTTTTACCTTTCCCTTGTGAATCCTTAGTTTCATCTTTTGCTATATCCAATGCTCGGTTTCTATATTTTGGTACTGTCATGAAGTATTTTATTGCCGAGTCATATTTAGACCATGCGCTATAGTACTGTATTATAGATATAACTGTTATAGTAACAGCTACAACTATTCTCACGTCTACTTTAGGGGCCATTCGACGCCTATAATACCTATAGTAGTGAGCATAGTATTCTTGCGGATTGTCCAACATGTAGTCATAATCAGAACGAGCTTCTTCATCTCTTAAAATCTCGTAAGCTGTCGCGATTTCCTTAAATTTCTCTTCGGCTTCTTTTTTCGCTTCTTCGCCTCTACGCAAATCCGGATGGAACTTCCTCGCGAGCTGTCTATAGCTCTTACCGATCTCATTTTTGGTTGCTTGTCTCGTAACTCCTAAAACTTCATAGCAATTTTCTTTACCACAATAAATACCTTCAAGCAAATGATCGTGGCCCAATACGGCTGTAACTAGACAAGTTAAAAGAATTGTGACTAAATGTTTATAACATAACATGATTCGGTTTTTACATAATCTTTTCGTCAAAAACACTAAAAACACTTCTCTCCGAATAATTACATGTGACTGGGAAATTTGTTCTATCCAAAACTATATCTCCATCACTATTTCAAGATCAAGACAAATTATCTACAGCAACACAGCTGGGTCGTGTCAATTGAAATGTCAACGTCATGCCATCGTCAGCTAATTTTATGTATAATTGGATACTCCCACCAGAAATTTAAAGTTTTATTTTGATTACACAAGAAAATATTTTGCCCCTCATCCACCTTGGATTGGATTGTAGATTCTTAAAAAAGTTAATTACTTTTTTTAAATTTTATGGCTTACTTTAAGAAAAACGAAAATAGTAGAAATTTAAAAAATAATCTATCAATGCCTAATTCGCCTTAAGAGGCATTAAATAGTTATACATTAATTTGTATTTCATCAATACAAGAGTTGGGTTTAGAAATACGTCGCCTGAATTTGATGATACTGATTATGTAGGTATATCGTGGTATCTTGATTGGAACCCCTCCAAGTAATTTTGGCTGCCGGAGTCGCCTAAGTATAAAAAAAGTGCGTGCGTACAAAGTACACATGTCAGAAGTGAAACTTCTTTGGCAAACAAATTTTTAACTCTTATTCATATTTATACAAATCTAAAACTTTAGATTTCCGAGACTTAGAGGGCGGGATATAAAATATAAATAATAAATTTAATTTTTGAAGTTATACTTCTTTAGGCGCGTTATGAAAAATTTATGAGAATGAAATTTTACGATGCGCGCGCACCGTGACACAAAATTATCAGTTCGAAGTTGCCCACGGAAGATGCTACGGCATTGGACATAATTTAAAAATAATATTCGAATAATAATAGAATTTATGTTACACTCAATGTAAGAGAATAATAATAAATATGTATTTATTTAATTTTTCAAATGTAAACTGAACTTTATTGACTATAATGACTCCTTTTGCAGTCTTTGATTATTTGATTGTAATTAAATTTTTGCATGCAATCAAAAACTATGTTTAATAATGCCAAAGAAGTATAACTTCTTACGCGCGTACATAAGTACACGCACTCTTTTTTTAAATTTATTTTTTTCTATAATAAAAACACGTGGCATTTTAATTTATAGGTAATTCATCATTCATTTTCAATAAATTATTTTGCTTTAAATATAAAATACGAATATTTCATAAATTCTCTTACGTAAATATAATAATAATCGTAGGTACATCGATAATTAGTAATCTAAAAAACGACGGGTTGCACTCCGGGAGTGCCTGCAGAAGTGAAAACTTTAATATTAACGTTCTGCATTTTTGATATTTTGGAATGGTTAGGGAATAATTTTTTAAGCAAATATCTATCTATCTATCTTTCTGTCTAAGTAAATATCTACATAAATAACGTATAATATAATAACGAGAAGTTTGGGTGAAGATATTTACAGATAGTTTTGAACTTGAGTGAATTAGCCGATGTTGTCTGATATTGTACTACTTAAAGTGCCCTGTAAACGGTCAAACTTCACGTTTTCATCAATCAAACCAAATATCAAACAAATTTGTTAACTTTCTAGTAAATTCGGGTTTCTCCTTTCGTGACGTGACGTCGCCGTGCCGAGCACTTACAATTATTACAATGAGTAATTCAGATGACGCATTTTTGGCATTGACTCTAGCACTGTGTATCAAGACAAAAAAAAGAAGACGATGGAGTCGAGAATGGTTGAAATTAAGAGATAAATATACCCACGAGAATTTGCTACGGAAAATATTGCGCACAGAACCTGAAGACTACGCAAACTTCCTGCGCATGGACCATAAAACTTTTGAAGATTTACTGACTATACTCCATCCTCGTATTGAAAAAAAGGACACAGTTAAGCGGAAATCTATACCAGCTTCTCAAAGGTTATCAATAACATTGAGGTACCTGGCTAGCGGCGCCGATTTCGAAGACTTAAAATTTCAAGCCTGCGTTGCACCTCGAACATTGAGCAACATTATCATTGAAACTTGTGAAGCAATAAATGATACACTATTCAACAATAGTCAGGTAAGGTTTTATTTAAAAAATGAAATAAAATAAAAAGCCTTTTATTTCTTGCTAAAAGATATACAAAATAACATACTACTTTACGGTTTACTAAAAAGAAAAAAAAATCGCGATAAACAGATATGAAATGCAACATAAATTCTTTGTTAGTAATATTGACACTCATATTGTCACTGAGCGTAGCGTCCTCCATGATGTCAATACAACGAGTGAGATCATGTTTCAAACTCGACATCAATCCAGATTTTCATCAAACACGACAAACACGTAGATTGTTTGACAAACGTTTCAAACACAGCAGTACACTATCAAATAATTTGACAAACACGTAAAATTTGACAAACAATTTGATCGTTTACAGGGCACTTAAGATACCTCTTTTTATGAACACGTGGACGTTCCACTGTTGAAGTGCAGATAAAATTCTAAATTATCGGTATTAGTTCGGTTAATTACTTTATTATCGAGAAATATCCGATTTTTTCTGGCGAAAAATATCATTATTTTAAATAATATTATCTGAGCAATTTGTCTCCTGACGTTTGACATTTTATTTCTGAAGTTGCAAAAATCTAAATAGGAATTTTAACCTAAGTGTAAAAAGAAATACCAAAATTGAAAATAATAAATATCAATAGAGTGTATTTACATATTTATATAATAATGATAGACGATGAATTGGATAAGTTTTCATCGAACGTATTTAAATTTCTCGGCATCGACAAAGAAGTAAAAGGTCTACTAGTGAAGAAACATTCGAACAATTTACAAATACTCGGTGATTACAGTTTCCCAAACACAGTGAAATCTTGGAGCGAATTATTAAACAGTAAAGTGTTACAAAATGTTACTGAAACTCTGCTGCAATATTTAAAAAAAGACATTGATAGTTTGTTACAAGAGTCTAAAAGTTGGGCACTACCAATAAAAAAGGTTATAGAAATTAAAGATCGTGTACACATATTTTTAGAAAGACCGCTAGCTATTAGAACGGCTCTCTCACAATCTATTATAACAAATGAAAATATATTAAATAACCTTAACAAAGGGACATCTTTAGTGGAACATGAGAGTTTAAATTCAAGTTGTATAACATCACTACGGTTAAGATATACAGTGAAAGTTATAAAGAACCTTTATCTTCTAAATGAAAAATGCTCAGATATCAAGCCAAAGGTGTTTGTAACAACTAGATCTACTAGTAAATGTGAAGAAAGTAGAGTTATTCTATGTGGAGCTGTATTAAATGCAAAAACAGGTACTAAAGAGAGCAGTATAAGTGCAGAGGAATTGATAAGGTAACTACATATTTTTTTTAAATTATGATATATACAATTTTATAAAATAATAGCCTATATGTTATGTTACTATGTTTAAAAAATAGTATATGATTTATATGGCAAGTATAACTTCTCACACTATTATTTACTATTTCAGTATTCGTCAAGATGAGCTGACTCTTATTGCCCAACACAAGTATGGTGTCAGGGTATCAACTGATTCAAAATGGAAGGAATTTATTGCACACCTTGGGGAGTCAGCAGTGGCATTTGAACTTCTCCAAATTAGGCCTTCTAGTTCTATTAAAATACAATTTGATGCGTCTAGTGGGTCTAGTAAAGGTAAATTGTATATTTGAATTACACAGGAATATAAGATATTTATGACTTATTGATGAATAATGATACTATGTAAATATAAAAATGTGTGCGTGTACTAGGTGTACACACGTAAGAAGTGAAACTTCTTTATGACCTTATTAGAAACTATTTCTTTAAACACAGTAAATGTTGATACACTGCCTAGCATACAATTTACAAATTAATTGCTGCAAATTGCGATTAGCAAATTTTAAGTTGAAAATGTAATCCGTTGTCAAACTTCAAAGTCAAAAACATACTATATGTCATATTTTAACGCCGATAAAGAAGTTTGACTTCAAAAAGCAACATGGCGCGTAACGGAAAAATGTGACGCGTAACGCAAAAATGTTACACTAAATTTTTTTCCAACCCCGATAAAGAAGTTTCACTTCAATAACAAATATACACTACTCATTTCAACTTTTGCAGTTAACTTATGTTTCTTTATGTGTAACATTATTTCATACCTTATCTTTTAGGTGTGGCATTTATCTTGTACAATTGTGCAAGACTGGAAACTATAATTAGAACATTTAATGAGAAAGTAAATGAAGGCAGTTATCCATTATTACCAGATTTAGATGAAATTCAAATTTCACTATTGACACATGAGGTAAATATTGATATGTCTCAATGCAAATTTCTATTTTGGGTATAAGTTTTATGGTTTAGTATGAAGGCACTGAAAAATCCTGTTTAAAAAACCTTTATTTTATAATTGCACTATATTGGGCTAAATACACACAAAGACATTGAAAACTGTTTAAAATATTATTGTGACATTTTATACTTAATAAGTATTCATGTATGTAGTAGAGGTATTCAAATTAATGATTTCAACAAAATTAATATTAAGTTAGTGTTTACATAAAACTTGAATTGAAATTTATAGGATTCTTGCAAAATATCTTAGTGGCAAATTTCCAAGATTTAATTTTCCAAAGTTGTTGGCACTCTTGCTAACCACTACTTTATTTTAATCTTGAAATTTGACACCACTTCAAGAAATTATTGTTTTATTTCTGTAAAACCACTTTCCTATTTTATATTAATGCTTGATTTCTGGAATAGTGATATACATTATATGAAAAATAACAATAAGGAATAGGTATGAATAAGAATTAAGCAGATGTTTCATGGTTTTATGCATAATATTGTGTCAGTTTTATTGTATTAGATTAAAGCTTACACATGAGGAGAAATTTTGTTGTTTCTTTCACTATGATAAAAAGAGACGAGAGTACTTTAATTAAAACGGTGTAGTTAATTATGAATAAGGGGTTTAAACTAAAAGTATGTGATGTCACCATGTTATATTACAGTAATCAAAGTAAATTAAATTTTTTCACAGGATGAATGGTGCCTTGTTTTCAACTATATTCTGGGTCTGCCAGCTCTATTAAAGATCTGCGTGGAAGTAAGCAACGAGAGGTGTGAATTTAGACCACATCTAATATGTGCCTATCTCAGCTCAATGGTCAAAGTGTTCAGCCAATACTACCGAAAAGTCAGAATTTTAACTGTAAGTTTAACATGCATAATTATTTAAAGATTTTAAAATTAGTAGGTACTTTCATAGAACTATCAAGTAAAGAATCTAAACAAAAATTCTAATAATGAAATCATTATTTGCGATACTCATTAATATGCAATACATTTTACACGTTTTTAATGTATTAAATTACGCATAACATTTCGAAATTAATCATATTATTAATTTGATTTCTTATTCGAGACAATTATTGATTTTGAAGGCACAGAAGACTGATTTAGTCACCTACAATGAAAGCTAGGTTAAATATAGAAATGACGTTTGTAGTATTCATATTTGTTATATTGTTGTAGTTTAATATAATAACCATTTATTTATAAAGTTTCGCGGATATCTGAATATTTCTCTATGTACAATTCTATAAACAAATTCGCAATTTCGTTCGCATCTTCCAAGTACAATTTCTTTAGTCTTTATACAAATTAAGGATTATATCCTTACGGATATTGGCACTCTTACAAAAATTTCTACAAAAGAAATTCTTCCCTCTTTTCCTCTTCGAAAATCTCTTAATATTTCTAATAAGATTATAATTAGATTTTTTTGTTACAGGAACCGAGAAAGCATCTTCTACCAGTAATGTTTGCGAGAATTTACATGTTAAAGTCGTTAAACGATACATTAAAAACCTGTTTAAGAATATTGAATATTAAAAGTGTTTCACAAATGTACTTCTACTTTCTTTTACGATCCCTTATTTTGCGTGTATGATGTCATTTGTTTTTGTTTTGTCACAAAACGACCTCTTAGATAAGGGCTGATAACCAGTCATCCATCACGATCCTATTTACATAATGTGACATTGAAATTCTATTATTACTTCTAAGGTGTGAAACATATCCAGCGAACAATTCCTTTTGAAATTGAATATAATATTTAATAATGCTAACCCTACATTTGCGAACTATAGAAAAAAAATGTTTTGTTTGGAAACACAAAGTTCACGTGATTGACCCAGGTATTTTATTGTGAACATTTCTCGCCTGCGATTGGACGGCCGAGCGTTCAGCGAACGGAGCCGACAAATCACGAAGCGCTGTAAACGGTCGCGCGTCCCGAAACGGCAGTGTGTTTTTGACATCGGCCGATGCAGTCGTGAACTTCGGAGCCGACTGAAATACTTTTATTTATAGTTTTAATCGAATAAAGTCGTGTTACGTTCGTGAACGCGTGTGTTTTACCGTGATACAATAAATATGAGTATTGCAGACCTGATCCAAGCTGCTGAATACATCGAAAGGCGTGATAGAGGTGAATTGGGTTTTCTTTGTTTGAATTGTCAATTGAGTGCACTACTCGCACACGTCAACATGGCTCCCGTCTATTTTTGCTTTGCCATAATCAGCTGATTTTGACGGATTTGCAGTTTTCTTTGTTGCAGAATCGGAACACGGGTACGCATCTAGTTTGCCGGCGTATGAAGAGTTGCGCTCTGGAGGCAGGCGTCCGAAGACGAAGAAATCTCAGGGCAGCAGGTGAGTTGCCGGCTAGGAGTGCTAGTGAAGTGAATTAGTGTTGTTGTGAAGTGTCGCCGTGGCAAGTTACAAATATATGTTTTTTGTTCCAGGACGACTCATAACGAGTTGGAAAAGAACAGGTTAGTGGTGTTTATTTTAAACGCTTAGGGTTAGAAGCCGGTGGCTGACCTTGGCAGACGTAAGATGTGAAGGGAAGTGTAGTAGACGTAGAGATTACTAGTTGTAACCCATTTGGCAACGCTGCCACATGAGGTTACGTCATGTAAAACACTGATGCCCTTTCCTTACGAATATTGGCTGGATAAGCGGAAAATGTGCAGGAAAAGCGAATCTGATAGAGGCAGGAGGCTAATTAATGTCGGGATTGAGGAAAACTGCTGACTCTATTTCGGATTGAAATATGTGTTACATTGTTGATTTACATAGCAATTCCTCTATATATTCAGAAGTGTTTAAATAAAGATATTATAAAACGAAATTTCTCTACAGCCGTTAAAATAAATGTTCGTACAAAGTAATTTTAGTTTTGAACGCGAATAATATGATCTTGGTGCAGTGAAAAATCTAACTTTCTATTTCTTGTTGAATTGCAAGGTCAACGACCTTTTAATTTAATTTATCACACAAAATGAAACATATTGGGGAATCGTAAGTGTAGTAAGTATTACTATCAATTCGGCTTTTTCATTAAATAAGGTTTAAAGATGCCTCGATCTATAATAAAAAATCACCAATAATTATTTAAAATATGTATCGCAAGCATCTATCCCTCGAATCTTGTCGGTTTAATCACAAGTAAAAAAGTCCTTATGGAAACGAAATTCGTTTTAGAAATAATAGATTAAGGTAATATATTTCGTAGGCATTGTATCTATGCACAACCCCAACGGTTCCCAGCCATATGGTCAACATTAAAATAATTTATGTCATTTAATATTACACCCTATTATTACCAAAATATGAAAGTGTTCACGAACTCTATGTAATCTATTTACCACAGTTTTATGTCCGTTATGACATTAAATTCTATATTCACAAAAATCAAGAACGGTAGTTTATTTTGACTTTAATAAGTCGGATTTTTTCTAGTTATTTTCGCGAGTCTTTGAATATTAAAAATGTTTATTTTATGATATAGTAAATTTACCGCTTATATGTTTTAAACAATCGACAGTATAAAATATATAACTATAATTATAACTTAAGTAATAAAAGTAATATGTGCAACGTATTATAAACCATGACTCATTTGAATTTGAACTCGAGCATTATAACACGAATAAAAAGTGTTTCTGTAATCTAATATTAAGTGTATTTTAATTACTATAAATTCTGTGATTTGTAACTGACCGTTATTCATGCACAAACATCGTTTGGTTCTGGCCCTTAAGATTTTTGGTACAAAAATACTTCCGTTTTATGCATACCATAAAATGGGCGACTTTCCCAGGCGAACTCGGGTCAATACTTATAGGTTTTATTTTGTCTACAGTATTTAGACATAAATTATTAGAAATAGCCAAATATATTACGTCGGACAAAATAGTTTTAGCATTCCAGTAACGTGTAGGTTAAATTAAAAAGTGACCGAACAAAGTTATTTATTAAATATATTGACCTTAAAATCAAAATAAATCGTATATGTATCGTTTACATAAAAGCAGGCATGTTTAACGAAATTAAGTGGGGATTTTATTTAAAGTAATTCATTTTTAAATATCTTATTTATTAGCCAATGTCAAGACATAAAAACTAATTATATAAAATAGTATGAATGAATGACAAAGCGAACACTAGTTACGCAATGTGACGTGGCGGTCGTTCGCGCATCGGCCTTCGAGGAATGTTCCTGAAATGTCACCTTTTTGACCGTATTGTCTCTATTATTCATAATTTTCATGTCTGTTTCTGAGTGCGGATGGCACAGTTTCCACCAATGTGTGAAAACGTGCTATTTTTATTCGCGCTTTGTAATATGTATTGCAGCATTCTATTCTCAATGATTCTTTAATATATAAATTGTACTACATAAATTGACTTGATATAATGGATATATACAACTTCGCTCAGTAACGATAGGAAACAATAGGATATTTAGAGTCAGATAATCTTTCACTAATTAATAGGTTCGTGCGACTGGGTTCATAAAATAATTCGAAATTTAAAATAGGAGCATGTACCCCAATGTATGTATTTTGGGAAGATATTTGCGAACTCTTCAACAATTTACATAAAAACCAATGAATTATACCCTCATCAGGATCATAATATCTTTTAAAGACCGCAAAAAAATTAATTCGGATCTTTTTGAGTTCATCGCGTTTCATTTAGGACCGGGGGACTTAATTTTATAATGTGATTTACGTGTCCAACCAATGAAGCAAAACGATATAAGCGTTCCTATATCTTTAATTGGACGAACAAAGGCTTCTTTCATGGCCTAAAAAGTCGTCAAAGGCCTTATTAAAAGCTCATAGTAATATACAGTTACAAAGAACACCATTCGGCCTTCGCCCCATGTCACTGAGCGTATTCGTTGAGTGATTAGTTGTATGACGTGACATACTTCGATACAATTGACGCTTTTATTTCGTGCTTCGATAAATATTGTATTGTTCGATAGTTTTAATATTTAATATTTTAGCCCACGTATACAGTGTAGGAAATGGGAATACAATTTTAGTGCTTACAGTAAATGCTTATTAAATTCTAGTTTCTACGGCTTCACAGTAAATCTGGATTATTTGAGTTAAAGGACTTCTTAAAACGCCGGAACGCACGTTGCCTTTAAGTACAGAAATAAAAATCCAATAACTATAGCAGCGGATTCTGAAAGTAAGAAATAGAATAGAGTTAATTAAAATAACCTTCTCTGAAGTCCATTTAGATTATAATAAATGTTTTGACTAGAGATAGCAAAAAATTGAGTGGGATTATATTTTAAATTAGAATTTCTTGATCTCAATTAAATTGGAGGTAATTTCAACCCTCGCTGAGAACTGTCCTTGGTCGCACTTGGAATTATTAAAACTTTATGGCTAATTGGCTCTTGATAGATCTTTCTTATTAGCAAACTGAGTAGGGTTGACAAAATAATTGACTTGGCGGAACGGGAAAAATTGTTATTTTCAAGCGTTATTGAGATTTAGCGCGGACAAGTCACGTTTTCCCCTTTTGGATTTGACGTCTTTATCATTATAGGGTAAAGAGTTATTAGGTAGATATTACGTCATTATTCTGTTTCGCTGAATGCCTTGAATTCGGAAAACCACGGAGAGAATATGTTCCAGTGTCATGCCCTTTGTTACACCTATTTAGATGCTTAAAAATGGGTTGCTATATGTTGATAATCGGATACTAACGTCTAGTTTTTTATGCGAAATACTAGTCGTTACTGCTACTAGGTATACTTAGCGTAAGATTCAGAGTCGAGTTTTAGCGGTCTGTATGATTCCAGTATATGAAAATCCATTAGTTTTTGATACGGGAGTGGTTTAGCGCCTTTTATAATATACCAATCACTTTATTAGATTATTCTGAGACCATATCGCAATGGTGTATGAATTTTAATGCATCCATAAATAATATATATGTATATAAAAATCTAATTCCAGATTATTTCAATTATAAAACTTGCCTTAGGTTTTTTTTAACTTTTTATGAGACTACTGAATTATAAAGTTCATTTTAAACTCGCTCGACGATTCTTAAACATTTCGAAAGTAAGCTTAGTTTCGTATTGATTGGTAAAGTTAAGGGAATGAATAAATAAGTGTTTTAGACTACACTTAAAAGGGCGGGAAAATTTCAAATTATAAGTTCGGGCCGATTACGTAATGTTTGGGGTTTGATGTAAGGGTTCTTTGTTGACGTCGTCACTCAACTTTTTGGAGATAAGTGGTAAGCTTGCTGTTATTGCGTATGCGTCGCGTCTGAATACAATTAAGTCGAAAACTATTAAAGGGGTGTTCAAACTCGCAAATGACGAAGATATGTTATCTGTATGTGTAAAATTACATTCTTACTTGCAGGCAAGCTTTTTTAAATTTTTTGGATATAAATAGCCTATATTACTTAAGAATTAGTGTAAATTTCAACTGCAATTTTCGAGTTAATATACATATTCTATGTTGGAGAAATATCGTCACTCCATCGATATTGACGTCGTCATTTACGGGCTTAGTGGGCAAATGCGAGCACAAAAGATTACACGTATAATTATCGTACAGTATTTTATTTAGATTGAATGATTCCTTTTAACATTACATATAACACGTTTAGCTTAAATTGTAACGAGCTTTCAGCTATAATTTAATTGTAATCACAATCTACTCTACCACAATAGACCCAACTCGGTATTATCATCACCACAATGCTCCACTGAATACTCGATGATCAATCAGAACTACCCGGCGATCACTGAACGCACTGTCAAGAGTAAAGATGGCGCCTTGACCTTATGCTCTGCTCTGATTGGTCATAACAATATTCGTTAAGTAATGATTCTAAATTATGAAACAATTCAATAATAACAAAACAAATCTACTAGAAGGAATCTCAATTATTACCAAGGGAACAATAAAAATAAACGGTCAATTCTCGATATTTTAGTAGAGATTAATTTGTCTCGCTCACTCACCCGTATTTCTATGATTGGTGCTCGGGTTGATGAGTCGTCATTGAACCTGCGCAGGCGGCGAGATACTCACAAGATACGTGTACGTAATTATGCGCGTATCTAATTACGCTTACGATGTACTGTAATGTTATATAAAGGTCTCGAGGGCATCGATTTACAAATGAGATAAAACTAGCTGCTTCAATGGATCTATCGTATGCCTTTACGCGAAATTTATGATAGTTTAATCAATACTATACTGTTAGAACTTTGTTACTTTAAATACAATTTGTATAGTTCACGTTATTCGTTCTTGTTCGTGTTTTCGTTAAACACGTGTAAAGAAATAATTATATTTCTATTATCTATTACACATGTTTTAGCTGATGTTTCATTTGTTTGTTAGTCTGTGGAAAAGACGCTAGTTTCGGCTTGTCATTAAAATTTTAATTCGAAGATTTTTTGTTAGAACATTATTAATATAAAATAAATAGGTTTAAAGTGATAGTTTTCAAGTAAAACAACAAAC